AAACCCTAAACCCTAACCCTAAACCCTAAACCCTAAACCCTAAACCCTAACCCCTAAACCCTAACCCCTAAAACCCTAACCCCTAAAACCCTAACCCCTAAAACCCTAACCCCTAAACCCTAAACCCTAAACCCTAAACCTCAAACCCTAAACCCTAAACCCTAAAACCCTAAACCCTAAACCCTAAACCGTAAACCCTAAACCCTAAACCCTAAACCCCTTAACCCTAAACCCTAAACCCTAGACCCTAACCCTAAACCCTAAACCTAAACCCTAAACCCTAAACCCTAAACCTGACTTCCGTACCAAACTTTCTCTTTTTAACTCAGGCAAGTTTTTGACGAAGCCCATTCATGTAGCCTTCCTTGAAAAGAAGCAAGCGGTTCTGTACAGTGCCATGAGCTTGTGGGTAGTCGGCTTGTACAGGTGTCTCGCGCGCTAGGGTTGTGCCAAGAAATCCTTCAAGAACCTCTTGTTCCTCTGAGCCCCTTAGGTGTCGTGGTCAGCTGCACGATTCGGAACGTGCATCTGGACTCAATCTCCTTCTTGGGGTCTCTCAACTTCCTCCTTGTCATATTGACCACGATCGTCACTTTCCCATATTTCTCTTGTACCTTCTTCCATAATCCATTACATACCGTCCCTGCATATGACCTAAGCTCGATGTCGCTCTTCCATCATACTCGTAGGTGATGGCACCACCCGAATAATGCGCCCCGTCCTCTGCCACCTTCTTTCTGCTACGCCGTCTCTTGCGACTCTTGATGCGACCTATAGTGTTTAAGGAGGGTGAGAATCTCCTGATAAGTGACTGCTCGGCCTCAAGCCCATCTTCTACTCCACTAGTGACAAGGATGACAACGTAATCATGCCATCCGAACGACTTTAACCATGTGTGTAGTTTCGGGGCATTCCCAACCTTCCCTGACATGGCGTACCGGACATGCTCGGCCCACCTCGAAATAATCTTTCGTACCGTACAACCGATGTACAATCTCCGACAACTCAAACTAGCTACCACGTACACGCTAGACAAGTTAACTTCCACATGGTTTGGGTCCACGAATCTCAAGAGCTTTCGGAACCAAGGTAAAAGTCCCTTGACTGCGAAAAGGAGAAACAACATAGACAGGTAATTCTCTTCGTCCCTAATTAATAGCGGTCGCGTGTCACCTGCTTCTCTAGCCTTCCTTCTCAAAATCAACTCCCGAATCCGTACAATCGCTTCTCGTGATGACACTTCCTCCACATCCTTCATACTGCACCCAGATCCTCGTCTGACCGCTTCAGAGATGGTGTAGCGTGCACTCTATGCTCAAAGAAAACCTTCGTAGGCGAGTTTCACCCAACAACGAACCAGTTCTTGGACCGCCTGGCCCTTCACTACATACTCCACACCCTCTTGAACGCACAACTTTCTAATCTCCTTCGCTTTAAGTCCACTTAACTCGTTCGATTGCGAGAGTGCGTATTCCACAAGTCCCTCGCTCGAGGCTTCAGCAGGACACGTCTTCTTTGGAGTCTCAAAAACTTGATCATCTACTGTTGTCTCGACAACCTTTGCCTTCCCTTTCCTCGTTACCGGACTCTTCACCACCCAGCTTGTCGCTGCCCGACTCCCAATTACACTAGCACGGTGCTTCTTTCGGTATTCCAGCGCTTCGATAAGCTTGTCGGCTTCGATCTTCACCTCCTCGCTGTCGTCCTCTGACTGCGCGATGTAGCTCCGGATGTCGCGTAACATGCATGACTTAGATGTCGGTGACCGCTTCTTCGATTCCGTAGCCGGCTGAGGCGCTGATCCGATCATCGTTGATTCCTTACGCTGTGACAGAATCCGCAGAATCGTGGACTTGATCCTTGCTTCTCTCGCCTCCTCTTCTCAGATCTTCTCTCCTTCCCTCCTATCTTCTTCCTCCTTCTCTCTGACCACTTCGGCCACTTGTCGTTTTTTCTCCTCTTCCTCCTGCTCACGGCGCATGATCCTTCGAAACAACTCCCGCATCTCGGTGTTATCATCCTCCACTCTTGGCTTTGCATGTTGCCAACAGTTTCGGGCGTAGTGCCCGCTCTTTCCACATATGTGGCAGATAACTGAGCCGTATGCATTTACCGGACCGCCATTATGAAGCCCCACACTCTGAGTACTCATTCTCGGTGGGCTCATGTTCTGGTTCCCGATGCTTGGATTCCCCATATTGGGGTTCCCCATCATCGGATTGCCATTCACGCCCGGTACTCCTATGTTCGAATTCACCATTCCCGGGTTCCCTCCCGCGGGATTGCCAACCATTCTTGCCATGGCCATCCCCATTGTCCTCATAGCGGTCATATCTCCTCCCCTAAAAGTGTCCCACTAATGTTACTAGCGCCCCTCGGATCCCATGCAGATCTCTGAAGATCTGTATACGTCTCTCCAGTAGCCGCGATCTCGGCATCTTCCCATCCACCTCACGCTCCTTAGACAAACCACCAGTTCTTTCACTCTCCACAATGATATGGTTCCTCGCTACCCAAGAGCAGGAGATAACCCCGTGACCACTCTCACGGTCCAGTCTTGTTGGTTGTCACGTCTTCCCAGAATCAAGGGTAATACAACGAATAGGTACAATCAAAACCAGTTCTATGGAGGGTCAGTGCTCCTCCGAAATTCAAAATGCAACTGACCATACACCACTGGAAAAAACCACGCACATCCTTCAACGCGTTTCGACCTGCATGTGAACAGGCCTCTTCATGAAGGTCTTAGATTCTACTGATCGGGGGATGGACAAGTTCACCCCATCTTTATAGCTCCAGACACGTTGTCGGTCAGTCGGCTCCGCTCGCGAGCCCACCCACTGTAGCCACTTTAAGGGTCTGCCCGGCCTGCCTGTGGTGTGCCCCTGGCCCACCGACAGGATTGGCTCTATCTCCGCTCGCTCCTCGCTTGATTAAGCTCGGCGGTCTTCTGAGGCCTGATCGCCCCTCCCCCCCAAGGGCGTTTTCACGACCGTCGGCCCTCCAAGTGGCCTGACCGCTCCCCCTCCCCTCCGGAAGGCCTGGCCAAATACGAATACCCCGTGGCAAGTTGAATTCGTAAGTCGTGAAAATGGGCCTCGAAGCGATCGAAGATTCTTCTTGGTTTTTCACAAGAGAGGGGGTAAAACACACGCATGGCGTCGGGGAAGGGGATCGTACCTGGCCGAACACAGAACCCAAAGAGAACCGTAGTCGCTCTCAGCCACACCCTCACGGGGGAAAAGCGGATCGAACACGTACCTGTCGTCGAGCGTGGTCCCTGCGCTAAGAGAACAGACACCGAACACGACACTCACGCAGACATAGAATGTCCGAATATGGAGACCCCTCCTTCCTAGAGCGATTATAGACCTCTCTCCGAAGCGAGGCGATCGAGCACACCGACCTACCCCTCTCGGGAAATCAGACCCAATGCGGACTTCGCTTCTCCTTTCCGTGCGAGAAACTTGACCCGATACAGACTTCGTCCCTAAGCGAGGCGTCCCAACTCGTTAACCCTTCTCTCTCTCTCTTTCGGACTAATTAGTACAGACTTCTCGAGCACGTCAGCTTCTTCTTCTCTCGCATTCCGACGAGAAAACAGAGCCGACGTAGGCTTCGCTTTGATTTTGCAATTTAACCTTTCTTTGTCGTATGAGAAAATCTGTCCGAATATGTACTCCTCCCCGAAGCGAGGCATTCTAGCTCGTTAACCCCTCTCTCTCTCTCTCTCTCTCTCTCTCTCTCTCACAGGAAAACAGACCGAATAGCATAGACTTCACAACATGTTCGCTTCTTTTTCCCTCGCATATCGACGAGAAAACAGACCCAATGCAAACTTCACTGCGACTTAGCCTTAGAACCTCTCTTTGTTTCTCTCGAAAATCTGAAAAAAAAAAACGGACTTCTCCAGCTCGTTATCCTCTCTCCCTCCCTCTCTCTCTCATGAGAAACCAGACCAAATAGCATAGACTTTACGAGCACGTTACCCCTTTTTCCTCTCGTCCTTCGACAAAAAACAGACCGAGTGCAGACTTCACTTTGACTTAGCATTTGAACCTATCTTTGTCATACAGGAAAATTTGACAAAATACTGACTTCTCCCCAATGCGATCGAGCCCGATTACCTCTCGTTCTCTCTCCCTCTCTCTTGGGAAAACAAACCAAATAGCACGGACTTCACGGGCACGTTAGCTTCTTTTTCCCTCGCATTTCGACGACAAAACAGACCCAATGCAAACTTCACTACGACTTAGCCTCAGAACCTCTCTTTGTTTCTCTAAAAAATCTGACAAAAAAAAACGGACTTCTCCAGCTCGTTATCCTCTCTCCCTCTCTCTCTCTCTCATGAGAAACCAGACCGAATAACACAAACTTTACGAGCACGTTACCCCCTTTTTCTCTCTCCCTTCGACAAAAAAAATGGACCGAGTGCAGACTTCACTTCGACTTAGCATTTGAACCTTTCTTTGTCATACGGGAAAGTTTGACAAAATACTGATTTCTCCCCAATGGGATCGAGCCCAATAACCTCTCTCCCTCCCTCTCTCTCTCACAAGGAAACATACCGGAAAAGCGTTGACTTCCCTCAGAAGCGAGGTGATAGACCTCGCTAGCTTCCCTTTTACTTGTGCCTTGACGAGGGAACAGACTGAATGCGGCTTCCTTTTGAGGCGAGACTTCTGAGCACGTCAGCTCCTCTATTTTTCCTTTTGAAAGGATCGCTCTTCACGTCTTCTCGAGAAGACGGCCGAATACAGGACACCTTCGAGGCCAAGCGGCGATCTCTCTCCCTCCCCGGTTAGCGCTGCCCGAGCCGCTGACCCGAGTAGAGGCGCAGAAGAGTCCTTGACCGGAGAGGCGCGACGCCCTTAGCGCCCTCCCCACCTCGTGCGACAAGCTCCCATCCGGTGACTAGCGATCGTGAGCGGCTTGATCCCTCGACCCCTCCTTCCCTTCCTTCGGCACGACCTCACCGGCTGTGTGGGAACGCCAGCGTCCCCCGACTCCCCTCCTCAGTAGCGACCGCTCTTCGGGCGCTTATCCACCTCGTTTCGAGGCCCCTAAGACAACCCTTCTCCTCTCGGTGACCAAAGCTTCTGTCGGTTATGAGCATCGGTGGTCGCTGTGCCCGCTGGCCACGCAGGTCAGTACGTCTTACCCACTCTCTTTCTCTGCATCTCTCTCTCTTTCGGTCCGTTGCTCCCCCTCTCTCTCTCTTTTCCCTGTCTCCCTCGGGCTTTACACGCTGCTCGGGCGCTCTCTCTCTCTCCCTCCGCTCTTTTCTCTATCTCTCTAGCTCTCGGCCTCTTCCTCCCTCTTCGCTTTCTCTATTTCTCCCTCTCCCGCTAGGCTTTCTCTTCCGACATCTCGACAACCCCCCCCCTTGATAGGCGCGTGTGCCTGCTCTCCGCTCCTTTCCTCCTCTCGTCCTCACTCCTTACCAGTCGAGCTTCTCCAGTTCCCAGCTACTGTGTGCGCCGAAGGCCGTCCTCGCATGCTCCCCTTACGAACTCCTCCTCCATGCGTGTCACGAGCGTTTTTTTTTTCCCAATGAACGTCCCTACTACTGTCTTCCCCATAACGGACGCTTTTCCCTCCCCCTCTCCCTTTCTCTGTCCCTCTTTTATACTTGCCCGTTTCACGTTTCCGTGCTCACAAGGCGCCAAAATTCCCAATTTTTTCCTAAATTCCCCCCCTTTTTCCCACCTCCATCCTCATTCTACCAGCACTTAATTGCTCTCCCTCCCATCATCCCCTTTCTCATTCTTCCGCCAATAGGCTCCTCCCCTTCCACAATCGTGGGATCGGAGTTACGTTCGTGATCGGCCTCTTCCCCTAGCTCACGAACCCTGCCCGCCTCAGTTACTTAGCGGTGGTTATCAAGAAGTCTGAGGCGCGTGCGCCACAACTGTCGGATTCTGGCTTGTCCGCCCCACTCACTGAAGACGGTTTGTCTCCCCATCCATCCGGGTCGTTCAGTTACCATTGGCCTGGATCTATTTTCGATGTCCTGACCGGAGCTGTGCTCCGTTCTCCTGAGAAAGTTGCCCAGTTTCCCCCCCTTTTTCGCAGGCCATCTCCGACCGCTTTGCCACTTAGGAGTGGCCGCGGGGTCTGCCCTTCGCGCCTCTGCATCTTGGATATACATGCCACCTATTCCCCCGTCCAGCTCCCGCGATCGAGCCCAATTAGGCTCCTTATGCATGCGCCTGCTGCGCGGCTCCCCGCAGGGCGGTGCCAGTTCTCTGGTTCGTCCGAGGTTGAGGCAGTCCTTACGGCCTCCATCTGGTTTCCCTTCCCCCGCTTTCTTCCCTCGGCCAGTCGCCATGTGCACGCTCGAGTCCTTTCACAACCGTTTTTCCCACTCATTCTGTCTGCTCGAGAGTCTTGACCCACCGATGCCTTGCCGCGAAGTAACCTGCCACGGATTCCGACATCTGCTCACCCTAGCAGTTCTCCTCTTCCTCCCCCCCAGCTCCTACAACTCCTTGTTACTGGGTGCGCTTCTCCCATTTTCCCCTTCTGATTTTCGTTCCCTTCCTCTCTTCAGGTCGGTCAGAACTGCGTCCGGCCCCAGATCGTTGCGCGGCCAAACCGGTTGATCTCCCACCCCCCTTTTCACTGCTTGTCCCCTCCATACCTTATTTTGACCAATCTCCTCGCCCTTTCCCCCTTTTCCAGCCATCTCTCTTCTTATTTTCATATTCCCGCAACATCTTTGCTCGGCGTAGATAAGTTCTCGCTGTTGGGCCCACTCGCCTCCTTCAAGACTTGGCAGTTTGCGTGGACTAGGGAGGGCCACGCCAAAACTCTGTAGACGCACCCGCATTCGATACCGAAGTTGGTCGGTGTGGGGGAGACGAAGAGCACCAAGCCAAGGCTGCAGCAGCCAGGCTCTCATCAAGCCTTCGCTGGTCAAAATTTCCTGCTCCGGCCAAAAGTTGCGCGACCCAATCCTTCGCACAGGCTTC